CAATCAGGGCCGGTAGGTCTCCCTCTCCTGGTTAAACCCCACCTTCCTTTCCTCATCAGTTTTGTTTTTCTGGGGTGTAAAAAACGATTACAGTTAGACCTGGATTTTTTTTTTCGTTTTCCAGGGAAGGGGCTTTTCTTTAAAACCCGAAAATTGAACAACCAAAAAAAGGGTTTTTAAAATTGTTTGTAGTCCGGGGGGTCTTTTTGTTACTTCTGGCATAATCTGGTTGAAAAAACCATTAAACCTTCTCGTTTCATAAAGGGGTGAATTACCTTTTTATTCCATCCCAACCGGGTTTACTTTACAACCGTGTCAAAAAAATTTAAGGACCATAACCCCTTTCTTAAATAGGGGGTATTCAACCACGTACACAAAACTCACACACAAACTTACAGGAGTTTGAAAAAACTTTAAATTTCTTGTTACTTTTGGGGGGGAAACACCAAAACCCCATTTGTGTTCCCCGAAAAAAAAAGGCCAGACTTTGTGGCGGAAAAAACGAAGCCTCAAGGGAAAACCTTTTTCTTTTTTACTTAGTCTCAAACCTTTTTTCAAAAGCTTTTTTTGCAAAGGATCTTTATACGGGGACCTTAAGTTTGTCGGGATATGTTGACCTCGAACTAACGGAAAACCTGTTAATTCCATTCCAAAAAAAAGACGTTCAAGGAGGCCAATTATTTCTTTTTTTGAGTTCGATTCCTTTTTACCTGGGAACGTTCAAATGTCAACGGAAAGGGGAGTAAACTTTGGATTCTATCCTAGTATTGAATGTTGACCATCGAAAGGGGCCATTACGTGTTTACTGTTATTTTCGGAACTTTGAACTTAGTAAACGCGGGGTTTCAGAAAAAACCCAGGCAAACTTTGTGTCACGTCAATTTTGATACTTAATGTCTTCAAGGTTGTTTTTGGGGCAGGATTTACCCGGAGTTGGAAAAAGTTCTTTCCCCTTGGCACCAACTTTCAGGCCGGGTCGGGGTCCAAGGGGGGGGTCTAGGAGTCCGGGGGCTAACGCTGGGGAACCGGCTACAATTTGTGCCTGGGTTTTAGGGGGAAGGAAGCAAACAGGGATCCGACCTTGCCCCTGCTTTATTCCTCCTCCTTCCCTTTCCTTCCCCCCCTTAAACCATTCTCGTAATCGTACATGAATTTCCAGGTGGATAATACGTTTTATGTTGAAAAAAAAAAGTACAGGAAAAAATATGTAGTGGTACACCCCCCAGGGGGGAGGACCCAACATTTCTCTAAAGGGGGACTTTCAAAAGGGGGTCCCTTCTTTTTATAGAGGAAGAGAAAAAAACAGGGACCTAGTAAAATTATTTTTTTTGGAACAGGGACTTTTACTTCCGACTTTAGTCTAAAAAACCTGTGAAAATACTACAGGTTTATGCTAAAAAATAACCGGAACCACATTGTAATCGTTAAGTGTTTGGGGTTCCCATTTGGGGGGGGGGGGTTGGGAAAAATATTTGGACCCCTAGAGGGGGGAGGGGATTTCTGTTGTAACCACCCCAGGAAAAGAAAAATTGGGTTTTTAGAGAGCTTTCCCGGCAACCCCCCCCCTTCCCCCGAAAAGGAAAATAAAAAGTAGATTCATTTTCTGTCGGTGAAAAAAAACCTGTTTGTCCCCCCGGGGACTTTGTTCTCCCCCCCTAATACCCCCCTACGACCGTTGCTAGAAACAAAAACCCATAAACCCTTTTCGGGGTTTGGGGAAGTCTCTGTACTGAAACATTATTACCTCTGGATATTATTAAACCCCTAACTTTTTTTGTTCATATTAGCCCCCCCTTTGGAAAAATTGGGTTGTAAATAGTTACCAATCAGTTTGGGGTGTTTGAACAAAACACTTTGGGGAGGGAAAAATATCGAAAGGGGGGGTCTGGTTTCAGGAATAACCACCTTTTAAGGGTGGCTCACAACATTTAAAACCCTCGGGAACCAAAAACCTTCTCTTTATAATTAAAAAAATTCCTTTTGCTTATGTCTTTTTAGGATTACCACCCCTGGTGGGGGGGTACCAAAACTCACCTTTTAGAAAAAAAAAAATGCAACGTCATTTAGGTTATCTATTTGTTTTTCTTTCTCTTTGACAAACTTAAAAACAAGAAACTATCAGGTTAACCTTACTTTGTGATGTTGGTCGAAAAGTGGTGGCAAGGGGGGGTAATTCCTGGAAAAAAAGACGGTAGAGATGTATGAACTCGTCTTTGTAGTTTTTCTTTCTGTGTTGAGGGCTTTTAATTCTACAAATTTTATTCTTTTGGGTAAAATTTTTATAACTTTTGTTTGAGATGTTCGTCGAGAAACCCATTAGCCGGATTATAGGGAGCCGGGAGGTTAAAAACGCAATTAGGATGTTCCGGGTTATTGTCTTTGACCCTTTATCTAAGGAGGAACCACCCCAATTAAGCGCAAGGGTAAGTAAAAATCGGGCTAACAAAAATTTGTTACGTCATTAGGTTATTGGTTTCGGCTGGTAGATGGGAGATTCCAAATATTATATATATTATCCATTTTCATAGAGTTGTCGGGGACCCCCACTTTTTGGATAATTGTAATTTTGTATGGTCTCACAAATTTATAATTACGGAGGTTACCTTCTTCGACGAGGTTCCCCCCAAAACGTTCGGACAGTAAATGAAAATTAAATTATAATTTATCAAATACATCAATTGTGTCTAAAACTTTAACCCTACAAAAACGGTAAAAAGTAAAAAGGGATAGTATTACCATTGTGTCTGAAATTAAAGGACATTTATATGATCAAACCCTTGGTACCAAAATGGTAAGACCGCCGTACCCGGAACGAAATGGACCAATCCGTGGAGCCGTTACGTTATGCCCCCGCTGATTGGTCCAAATTGACCAATCCACGGACTTCCTCACACACACACACTCAGTGCAGGCAGCTCTGCTGATCTCTCCTCCCTGGCTGCAGGCTGATAACAGACAGTTGGGATCGTGGCGAAATTCTCTCTGCAGAGTGCAGACCCATTCTCACAGCGTTTATCAACCTTTTTCTTACTCAATATCTAGCCACACTTATTGTTTTTACTTCAGCTGTGACTTTGTGTGTGCTCAGGGTGAGTTTGGCTGTGTTTCACTGTGTATCGCTAAACAAGGAAACCACACCTCCACGGAGCTCAGCGTGATTCACATCGTCCCGACCAATCAGAGCACACTGTGTTCACAGGGAGGGTGGGGGCTGGAGCTATTGGAGCTACAACGAGCCGTTAAAGGCAGAGAGTGAAATTCAGTGAATACACGTAGTTTACAGAGATGCTGTATGAGAAACCAAAGTGATTTTGGAAAATTGCACAATATAAATCTATTCTAGTAGACCTCAACAATGGAATTATGATCAGTGGAAATGGCCATGACATGGGACCTTTAACATACTAATCTTCCAGATGTATGTCACTGCAACATGTGATTACTGAGAGCAGTGACGCCACAAAGCAGATTACATTTCAGTGGAGATCAACTCTGGTTATTATCAAAACACCACACTTGTAATAACTCTGGTGGTATCAGGGTGTCCAGCACACTGAGGGACAAGCAACCTCTCTCTGAATCCTTGTATCTTTACTGGGTTAGAAAATGTGGCAAAAGTCGCACTAGCATCAAGCCTTAACTTTATTTTCCCCATCTCACATGAAGCTAATGTCTTTGCAAACATCTTATCTTGACTTAGAGCATGTCGGAAATCAGTGTGTTTAATTAGTTTAGATTAAAGGGCATTTTGACTGCTGATGGGCACACAAGCTACTCAACCTGTTCCTCTTTAATTACACAACATCTCTCTGAACACTGAGTGGTTAACTTAGCTTCCAGGAATGAGGCGTGGAAACTAAATCTTTGTTTGTGCACACAAGCTGAGACACAATTCCTGACCCACACCTTTTTTGTTGAATATCTGTGTCTGTTATCACCTCTGGCACATCCTGGGGTCTGCTTAGACTAAAGACGGAAAATGCTAGACAGAAAAGTCACAGCTGGGAATTTGGGGAATCTTCATGAGATTGAGTGAACTCTCTGCTTTTGTCATGAATCAGCAAGTCTGTCTACAGGTATTTGTCCAATGGGGTGTGATGAGTAGCTCTGGTGTGAATGCTTAGGGTAGGTAAAAATGGAGAAACCAGCTCGAATGCGCTAGAATTTGAAAGTACACAGCCGGAAAAAATCTGCCTCTTCCTTCAGACTTCCTTACAGAGCCCCTCATCCAACACACACGAACGCGCACATGACCAATGAGGGCACGAGATAAGTTTGTGCACAGATGGAAGGCTGACAGGCAGGTAGGCCATCCAGTTACTTTAGCCGGGCCGGCTCAGATGATTGGTCGTGCTTTTTACAGCGCCACGGCTTCCACAGATGACATTTTTTAATGTATTTATTGTCAAAGCATTTAATATATTCATTGCTATCGGGATGTTAAGAGCATTCCATGGAATATAACAAAAAGAGTTTCTGAAATAAATGACATACCCCACCTTTAATCGGTTTGATTTATGCAAACCAGCTGAACTGGCATTTGTCAAAATATATTTTTCTGGTATGTTAAAGACAAGCCTTCCTCAGAGCTCGATATTGATACTGTGACAATATTGCAGGGTCGACTGTTGATGCTTTTACAAAATATTTACCCAATGACAATTTGCAAACATTACCCAAAAGCATTATGGGAAACGTAGTCAAACATTGAGAGAAGGATTATCTACCTAATAGAAGAAAGACAAAGGATAATTATTAATACATATTTTGTATTTCTTGTTGAACTGTTTAAAAAAAAAATATATATATATATTATGTATATTAGTAAGGCTGTACATAATGATTCTTAGATTAGATTAAACTTTATTGTCTTTGCACAGAGTACAAGTACTAAGACAACGAAATGCAGTTAGCCTCTAACCAGAAGTGCAACACAGAGTGCAGAGCGATGTCTAGTGATATAAATATACTGTCTCACTTTTGTTTGTCCACACTGTCAGACTTTGAAATCCTCTCGTCTTCACAAATCTTCCCACTTCTTTCCGCTGCATGTTTGTTCAGCCTGTATCTCAGTTTGACCAGCCTTCCCTCCTTGTGTCTTGCAGGGACGTACCCGTTCGTGACGTCGTCAAACTGCACGGTGGGGGGCGTGTGCACGGGCCTCGGGATGCCGCCCCAGAACGTGGGGGAGGTTTACGGGGTCGTCAAGGCGTACACCACCCGAGTGGGCATCGGAGCGTTCCCCTCAGAGCAGATCAATGTGAGAGGAAACACAAATACTATACGATACGATAATACTTTATTGGTCAGATCAAGTCTGAAATTTGACTCGCATCACAGCAGCTCCATGTGTAACATCAACATAGACAGATATCAAGACACAATACATGAAAAACAAAAACAAAAACATTTAACATAACAGCACAATCACTGAGAGAAAACATTTTCAACATAGTACCATGCCACCCATACAGATGCAAACTAGATATTTAAATGTCTTTTTCCTACAAAGATGGAAAGTATATCCGCAGTCGGTTTACAACTAAGTTTAACTCAGATGCCTTAGACCTGCACAGTACATAGCTTGGCAATATGGACTCATGCAATATCCAAATCGCAGTAAGCAATTAAAGTAAAGTAAAATATGTGAGAACATCTGATTTAAGTATTGTAACATTAACAAAAACAGCTGTTTTTTTTGTTTTCAGGAGATCGGAGAGCTGCTGCAGACTCGTGGGAAGGAGGTGGGCGTGACCACGGGCAGGAAGAGACGATGTGGTTGGCTGGATCTGGTGCTCATCAAATATGCCCACATGATTAACGGCTTCACCGCGTGAGTTCACCGTGCATTGTTTTCATGGAAATGTTTCTGACAAAGCATTTAATAGACAATCATAGGAGTAAATGTGAACAATAATCAAAAAACTGTATTTTTGCAATACATATTTCTATATTTCTTTTAAATACAGTTTCATTAGTTTTTGTTTAATTTGTTAAAACTGAGAAAAATTGGTCTTATTCACTTATTTTAAGGCAAGATACCGAACTCCACAGGAAGCATAAACACATCTTTCTTCTCGGAGAATGTTAGTAAGTAAACGGCTCCTTTGTCTTATAACCTTCCTGTTTCCTTATATCCCTTCGACAGTATAGCCCTCACCAAACTGGACATACTTGACATGTTTGAAGAGATCAAAGTGGGCGTATCGTACAAAGTCGACAACCAAACTATACCTACTTTTCCAGGTGAGCCGGTTTGTGAATGATTACTGCTTCTGTAAATGTTCAAATAGAGTTAAAATTCAGAGAGGAAGAAGGGGCCTTACTCATTAACATTTCACATCTCACATTTGCTCTTAAATTAGTTTTTGTGAAAGGTCCTAAAAAAAGTCTAGTGTCTTTGTTCTTATAACAACGAAACCCACTGTCTTAGTCATTTGAAGCTGCACCATTTGATCAGCAGATAAGACGCTCCACCAATTGAAGTAAAAGAGCATGAGACTGCAGGGCCGTGTGCACATGCAGATATTGAAAAAAAAAGTTGACAGAATTAAGATAAGGCTGAAAAGAGTTGAACATTGGACTCCAAACATAACAAATCCCTTCTGACACTGTTTATGACATTTTGAAATCAGATCTGACTAATGTCATCATGAAAAGTTAATGTATCTCTTTGTTCAGTGGAATCTGCCGAACATCTCCTCTTCCCGTCAACTGTTATTTATAGAGAGCTCCATTTCTAGGCAGCAACATATTGATCTGTTATCATAGCTGCTTGATTGCGGTCTCCTGTAAAGCTAATGGTGTGATATTACTCCTCCTCCCCTCCTCCTCCCTTCCTCTCATTGATTCTGTGCCAGCCAATCAGGAGGTGCTGCAGCATGTGGACGTCCAGTATGAGACGCTGCCCGGCTGGAAGAGCGACATCTCGCAAGTGAGGAACTTCGAGGATCTGCCTGAGAACGCCCGGAAATACGTCGGCTTCATCGAGGAGCATGTCGGAGTGCCTGGTACGGTTTCACATTTGTTAGAAGTAAATAATTGATTAATGCTTTTTGGGGTTTAAGAGATAAGATAAGATGGACCTTTACTAATCCCCTTGGGGAAATTCAGTAGTTTAACAGCAACAGGGTAAGAATGAAAAACAGGACAGCACAGATTCACACAGGTTAATACAATTAAAGATAACATTTCAATTAAAATAACTATAAAATAAGAAATGAATTAAAATGAACATACTGTATATACATATTGAGTCATATATACATTAGATATATTTACATGTGTGTGTGAAAACGGTGTGTATTT